TCTGAGCGGAGCGATGAATGTATTGGTTTTACAATGATGTGTGTTTTTATATTTTTATATTTTTATATTTTTATATTTTTGTGTCTGTCATCACGTTTTGGGACAGTAAAAGTGCTTCGATTTTCTTCAATAGTACCTTTTCTGATAGGAAAGTGAATCTAGTTGGTACTTTGGGGGGTCAAAAGTAAACATTTTCCAGTAGTTTTCACAAGCGCCGGGAAAAAACAACATAAAAATTAAGGAAAAACGGGAATTTTTACGCAAAATCGATTTTCCAAAAAATCGAATTTGGTTTTTGGTGTAACTTTAAAACAAATGACCGTAGATACATAAAATTTTCACTGGTTGTTTATATTTGCATTTTCTATACACGATAACATTTTCAAAATATTTTGATTTATTTTGAACTGTTTAGGGACATTTTCATTTTCCATTTTTTTTTTTAGTTTTTTTTTCTAAAAATATCAATAAAATTTTATTTGTTGGTTGCGAAATCTTGAAAATTTAATAGAAGGCTCCTAATATGTTGTTTTAAAGGCAGATGAAAAATATTAAAAATCCTTAGTCACAATTTTTTTTTATAAGCATTTAAAGTTCAAAAATTTACAAAATATGGACAAATCACGAAAATTAGCAAATTATTTTGAGTTAAGAATTCGTAAAAATTGTTCTTTTTAAATCTAAGATTTGAAAATGAAACACAAGATTTCAGTATAATATTTGTCAAATAGAGATTCAACTTGCTGTACTTTACGTTTTATTACCAAAGGGCATTGTATACCTATCTGTTTATAAATAAATAAATATTTATATTTTATACAGCAATATCATATTATAATATGACGTTTTCAAAATATTTTGATTTATTTTGAACTGTTTAGGGACATTTTCATTTTCCATTTTTTTTTTAGTTTTTTTTCTAAAGATATCAATAAAATTTTATTTGTTGGCTGAAAAAGCTTGAAAATTGAATAGAAGGCTCCTAGTATATTGTTTCAAGGGCAGATTAAAAATATTAAAATCTTTAGTCACAGATTTTTTTTCTAAGCATTTAAAGTTCATAAATTGACCAATAATGGAAAAATCACGAAAATTAGCAAATTATTCTGAGTTAAAAATTAGTAAAAATTTTTTTTTTTAAATCTAAGGTTTTAAAATGTAATACAAGATTCCCCATAAGTTTGTCTACCTTTATCAAAAAAAAAAAAATGTCTATAAGAAAGTCAAATTAAATTTTTATGAGCGTTTGAAATTCAAATTTTTACAACATTGGATATTCACTCGATTACTCATGTAGCGATTTCCTTATTTTGTTGTAATTCAAAAACGAACAACTGTAGATACATGAAAATTTCACTCAATGTTTAAATTAGCATTTTCTATACACCATACAATTTTGAAAATATTTTGACTCTTTTTGAGATGTTTATGGACATTTACAGCTTTCAATTTTTTTTAGTTTTTTTTTCTATAAATATCAATAAAGTTTTATCTGTTGGGCCAAAAAGTGTAAAAATTTAATACAAGGCTCCTGATATATTGATACAATAGCAGTTGAAAAATATTAAAAATACATAGGCACAGTTTTTTTTTATAAGCATTTAAAGATCAAATTTTGACAAAATTTATCAAAATCTCGAAAATTATCAATCATTGTAATTAATAAATTATAAAATGTTCAGTTTTTATAACTAAGGATTGCAAATTCAACACAAAGGTTCTCGTAAATAGTTCATACTGTAACCAAAAATCTTAAAAAGATATGAACACACTTATTTTTTACAGACATTTTAAATTCAAATTTGGACGAAATTACATATTAAAAAACCTAGAATAACTATTTTAGTTATTTTGTTGTGATTGAATAATATTATTCGTGGGTACTTGAAACTTCTAAAGTGTATTATTATATATCTATGATAGTATCACGGTTTTTGTTGATGTATAACGTGTTATAAGTATCTAATGGATATTGTGATATGATTAATTTGGAATTTATTATAGGTACCTATTATAGGTCAATTTTTTGTTTAATACCATAGATATGTATATAATATGTCTTATACATAGACTGACATACCATCACCGCTCAGAATCGTTTTTCTTATACAATGATATTATATCATTGAATTCAAATTTAATACCATCCATTATACGGTGTCCCACTTGTAACCTACTGTACAGCAGAGCGTCACCCACTTGCCCACCTTTTTTTTTATGATAACGTAAGAATTAAACATAGTTCATTTTCTTTTTTTTTGTTTAATATTTTCTAGGCTTAACATTTATTTTCTTACTTTTACTAGCTTAAATTAAGTTAGTTATTTTACATTATTTTTTTTTTTATTAATTTTTTTTTTTTTTACAATTATTTTGATGCTTTTGCTGATTTTAACTGGGTTAGGAAAAATTTCGTACAATCTTTGTATTTGACTTGCTTTAACATTTTTTTTTTTATATCTCATGCTAACTTAAATTAGGTTAATTTTCTTACATATTCTGAGCGGAGCGATGAATGTATTGGTTTTACAATGATGTGTGTTTTTTTTTTTTTATATTTTTATATTTTTGTGTCTGTCATCACGTTTTAGGACAGTAAAAGTGCTTTGATTTTCTTCATCAGTAGCTTTTCTGATAGGAAAGTGAATCTAGTTGGTACTTTGGGGGTCAAAAGTATAAATTTCACAGTAGTTTTCACAAGCGCCGGGAAAAAACAACATAAAAATTAAGGAAAAACGGGAATTTTTACGCAAAATTGGTTTTCCAAAAAATCGATTTTGGTTATTGGTGTAACTCTAAAACAAATGAACGTATATACATGAAATTTTCACTGGTTGTTTATATTTGCATTTTCTATACACGATAACATTTTCAAAATATTTTGATTTATTTTGAACTGTTTAGGGACATTTTCATTTTCCATTTTTTTTTAGTTTTTTTTCTAAAAATATCAATAAAATTTTATTTATTGGTTGCGAAAGCTTGAAAATTTGATAGAAGGCTCCTAATATGTTGTTTCAAAGGCAGATGAAAAATATTAAAAATCCTTAGTCACAATTTTTTTTTTATAAGCATTTAAAGTTCAAAAATTGACAAAATATGGAAAAATCACGAAAATTAGCAAATTATTTTGAGTTAAGAATTCGTAAAAATTTTTCTTTTTAAATCTAAGATTTGAAAATGAAACACAAGATTCCTTATAAGATTATCTACCTTTATCAATAAAAAAATCTCTACCGGACAGTCAAATTAAATTTTTATGAGCGTTTGAAATTCAAATTTTTACAACATTGGATATTCACTCGATTACTCATGTAGCGATTTCTTTATTTTGTTGCAATTCAAAAACGAACAACTGTAGATACATGAAAATTTCACTGAATGTTTAAATTAGCATTTTCTATACACCATACAATTTTGAAAATATTTTGACTCTTTTTGAGCTGTTTATGGACATTTACAGCTTTCAATTTTTTTAGTTTTTTTTTCTATAAATATCAATAAAGTTTTAGCTGTTGGGCCAAAAAGTGTAAAAATTTAATACAAGGCTCCTGATATATTGTTACAATATCAGTTGAAAAATATTAAAAATACATAGGCACGATTTTTTTTTATAAGCATTTAAAGTTGGAATTTTGACAAAATTTATCAAAATCTCGAAAATTATCAATCGTTGGAATTAAAAAATTATAAAATGTTCAGTTTTTATAACTAAGAGTTGAAAATTTAAAACAAAGATTCTCTTAAATAATTCATACTGTAACCAAAAAATCTAAAAAATATATAAACACACTTATTTTTTACAGACATTTTAATTTCAAATTTAGACAAAATTTCATATTTAAACCAAGAATTACGATTTTAGTTATTTTGTTGTGATTGTATAATATTATTCGTGGGTACTTGAAATTTCTAAAGTAATCTACTATATATATCTATGATAGTATCAGGGTTTGTTGTTGGTGTATAACGCGTTATAAGTACCTAATGGATATTGTGATATGATTAATTTGGAATTCATTATAGGTCAATTTTTTTTAATACCATAGATATGTATATATAATATATCTTATACCTAGAAGGACATACCGTCTCCGCTCAGAATCCTTTTTCTTATACAATGATATTATATCATTGAATTCAAATTTAATACCATCCATTATACAATGACCCACTTGTAACCTACTGTACAGCAGAGTGACACCCACTTGCCCACCTTTTTTTTTTTATATTAACTTAAATTAGGTTAAATGTATTTTAGTACCTAGGTAAGTAACTTAAGGTAGGTTATTTGTATTTGTTAATGTTATTCTGTAATTCTTATATACTAGTTATATAATATTTCGTATTTATACTAAGTAGGTACTCATTTATACATAAACTTAAATCGGTTTAATTATACTAATGCGTAATTGATATATATTTTCCATCTTAGAATCTATAATTTATGTGTGTATTACTAAACTAGGTAAAAAAAAAGAAAAATGTTATCTAAGTTTGAGCGTGTTGTGCGAGTTCTTGATTTGAATCTTTTTATTTATCATTATTATTATTAGTGTAATTATGTGTTTATATTATATAGTTAAATATATTTTTTTATACTGAAAGTCTCCTATTATTTATTTGATAACTGTTCGGATTCTTTATCATGCCTTTTAAGTTTTATTGTTTTAATCTGGCAATTGCTGGAACTATATTGTTTTTTTACGTGTTGTGTGTTACGTTGGAGAATAAGTTTGATGCTCCACCCGAATGTTTTATATAATAAATTGATATTTAGCCCAGTGTTTATGAGTGTTATGATCATTTTACAAATTATGACTAATCCTAGCACGCCAGACATTATATTGCCGAAACTCGTGAACCAGCCCCATATGTTGTGTAATTCCTGATGTACTAATTTACTTATAGTCTGCTCATCTATTAGGTTTTTTATATTTATACCTTGGTTTATAACGTCATGGCCTAGTGTCTGTCGTATTAAATTTCTTTGGACCGTTTCAGATTCTTGAGGGATTTTGGAGTGCTTTCATGATATCGGGTGTGTATATGCCTGCCGTCATAAAATTATCTGAACTTTCGTATGACCAACTTAGTGCAGTGTCTGGTTTTAGTGTTTGTGGATTATTAACTTTGTGGGGCTTTGGTGTTAATGAAAACCATTTTCCATTTTTTTGGAAAGCGGGTGGCAAATTATCATTGCAGTCAATCTGCGTTCCGTAAGTTTGAAGTATGTGTGATTTTGGGGTCATGAACAGTGTTCTATTGTTATAAAGCACCGGTAATTCGTTGAAGCATGAGGTTTGTATAGATATCTCTACATTGACAGGTTTACATTTTTGGAGATATATGATTTCCCCGTTTTTTATAGCTATATATCCGGGTCCTTCTCCTATGGTGTATGCGAATTCGGGAAGGCTATATGAAGCGAGGGTGAGTTTCTGTAAGAGAAGCTGTCTTTCAAAGTTGCATTGTTTTTTTATGAGGTCTTCGTAAAGCTTGGTCACTGTTCTTTTTATCGTGTATTCCAGATATACAAATTTTGTGTTGATATACGATAGCAGGTCAGTATTAAAGGGTTGAATTTGTTTAGGAGTGAAACTGTTTGCGTAAATTTTGTGGGATATAATTAGTAATTGATTGTTTTCAGTTTGAATGACCGGGATATTGCACGCGAATGTCATAGATACTTTTTTTAGCGCAAAAGCTATGTATGTTGTTTCTACAACGTACGTATCAATTTTATAATTGTTATGGGTTTCGGAAGTGACAATGGAGGCTGGTCCGTCATATAATACGTCGTATTCTGATATACTACAGTCTTGTCTTTCGTTTGTCCATATTATTTCCCCCTTGTATTGGTCAAGCCCATAAGAATCTGATAATTTTAACCTAGACCCTGTCGGTAAAATTAGAATATTTTTCTTGGTATTTACCATGGCTGTGCCCTCAGATAAATGAATATTATATTTGTACTATTACATTATTCCATGTACCCCTGGAATTTGTAAATGTTGTCCCTATACAGTTGCCATTTTTATCTAGAGATCCACCACTTGTGTGGGATGCAATGAAAGTTTCATTTATATGTAAGCCCGATATTATGCACCCTAACGGGGATTGGTAAATTAATTTGTGGTGTATTTCTTCGCATCGAGCGTGTCCTAATTCAATTATTTCGGAATAAAATCCCCCTTCTACCATTTGTGCGTCTTCAAATGTGGAGCATCTCATTATTAGGTAATCTATGGAAATGAAACATGATTTATATTGTTGTGAATGTATTTCAATTTTCTTCAGTAATTTTATTTTAGGTATTGATTGTATATCTATGGGTTTTGGGTTTTCGCAAAAGTCTACATTTATACTGTTAAATGCAGTTGTGTTGACTTGTGGACCTTCGCAGTCGTAAGCTATGAATGTCTGTGTGGGATTAAATTTTAGGGTAAGAATAAATGTGAATATTAATTTTGTATTAGATAGGTAACTGCATCTTTGTAAAATTGTTGTGTGCGTTTATTAGTTTTTTTTTTTTTTTTTTACGGGTAATATTTAATTATATATTTGTTTATTATTTATTTATGTATACTTTAGTTATGGGTGATTTGACGTTTTGGCTTGGTCTCTGAAACAATATACTGTTAGTGTGTGTTTGTAACATTTACCTGTATAATAAAACATAACATAAAACAATGTATGACAAATAAATTATATTAAATTATATAGTGTATTTGCGTATTACATATAAATGAAAATATTTTTTTTTTTTTTTTACGAATAATAATGGTTTACATATTATGGCTGGGATATTCTCATATGTACCTATAGTTTTATTTAATTGTTACTTAAGTTATGTGATACCATAGGCGTGCGCACGGGGTGTTCCGGGTGTGCGTGGGCACCCCCTGACATTTAATTGGGGCCCTAAAATATTTAATATTTATTTGATGTTTAGCATTGTACAAGTTGTTTATGAGAACAGGTAGTTATATTTGAAATTAAATATTGTGAAAAGTAAATTCAGAAGTATCATGACCCAATACTGTTTGGAATCATTAATTTTACTTTTTACGGAACAAGAAATGGCCTCTAATGTTGAAGTAGATTTAGTTATTACTTATTAATGAGTTTAATAATTTAAGTAATAGACGCATATTATTATAAATCTATAACTGTTGTATTAGAATGTTAAATAAACATGTAACTAAGTAAGTAATATTTATTTGTACAATATAATTTACTAAAATATGTATTATTATGTACAATGTACATGTCTTGTTAAGAGAGGGCCCAAGTTAAGGAAAGGGCCCAAAAATATTGTAGGAAACTAGGAACCCCCCGAAATCCAGGTCTGCGCACGCCTATGTGTGATACATAATAATAATAAATAATGTGCATACAGGTATAATAATGCACTATTCGTAAAATGTTTAAATTAATAGGTAGTGTATTTGCTATTATTTTTGTATGAATATTAATATTCAATTCATATTATTAGAACTTATTGTGGTGCGTGTTATATAAATAATTTGGTTTGGTTGATATATTTTTTTATATGTTACATTGCACGTTTTGCATTTATATGTATTTTATGATATTTTATGAGTTGTTTGCATTTATTTTATTGTTATAATAATTTTAAAAAAAAAAAAGAGAGGGAAGGAAGAAAGAACAAAAATATATAAATACCTATATTTATATTTTGACGGGCTGAGCCTATTGCGTTTTAGATTAATTATGTTGGTATTTAGAGAGTTAAAATCGAAAGTGCCCTAATTTAGACCCTTTTGTAGTATGGTTTTAACCTCCATACGTGTATAGTGTCGACGGTTTCTTTGTTGTTTAATGTCATTTTTATTTTATAATTTAAATCGTTGATTTTGTCTACTATTTTAAATGGTCCTCTGTACATGGGTCCTAGTTAGGGAGACTTTCCCACTTCGAGGAATGGAAAACTAATCATAACTAAGTCATTAATGTTATAATTTATTGCTGTATGTGTTTTATCATGATATTTTTTTTGAATTATTTGAGCTTTATGAATTTGCTGTGGTATTTTATTTCTTATTTAATTTAGTTATATTAATGATTGTTTTAAACAATATGGTACGTTTTCGGGAATAATTTTGTTATCTATGGGAAATATTGGTTCAAAACCGTGCATTAGATAAAACGGGCTAAACTTGGTGGTAGTTTGGGGTGTGGAATTGTATGCTAATGTTATGTATGGCAAGAAATATGACCATTTTGTTTGATCACCATTTGTTAAATAGTTTTTTAAGGAGCCTGTTAGTACACCATTAATTTTTTCAACTAGCCCTTGTGTCTGCGTGAATAACTCGTTGACAAAGTTTGATTTATTCCTAAGTTTGAACATATATCAGTGATTAATTTATTTCTGAAATGAGTGCCTTGGTCGGACGAAAAGTTTCTAAAACAGCCCCAATGTGATACAATTTCTATTAAAAATTTGGCAGTTGCTTCGGCCGTGGCCGATTCAACTGCTTTAGTAAATATGTATTTTGTGGTGTTGCATGCGGCTACTAAAATGTATCGTTTTTTGTTGCTTGATACTAGGGGGCCTAAGTAATCAAATGTTATCCTATCTAATGGTCTCCCTGTCGTTATTGGTATGGGATGTAATAAATCTATTGGTTTACCACTCATTTTTTTATTGACTTGACATTCATCACAAGATTTAATAAAATTAGTGGTGTCTTTGTGTAATGAGGGCCAATAATATTTGTTATGAATTTTACGAATAGTGCGTGATATGCCTGTATGTCCACCTGTGGGTGAGTCGTGATAAGATTTTAATATTTCATTAATCAATGTTTTTGGTATTACAAGAATTGCCAGGGGCACATTAAGGGTTCACATATGGGGGGCAAAATTATTTTGCGCCCCTGGTGTATTTTATGAATATTAATGAAAGTATAAAAAACTTAAAAAAAATTTCCTCGCTGCGCTCGAAAAATTAAGTTAGTACCTTACATTTCATACAGTTATTATACCTACATAGATATCTTATTAAATTAATTACTAAATATCTATTTAGAACTTGGAATAATAATCCTTTCTTTTAAAATAGTACTGGTAATTGGAATATTTATTATGTTTATATTTCATTAACTAATAAATACCTCCTAGTAAGCAACTCCTATATTTTTAGTTATTTATGGAGTACCTATGTATTAAGCATTGACTTATAATAATAAATATATCTTTATTCTTTATTAACAATAAAATATTATTACATATTATAAAACTATTTAAATGACAAATATGGAACAATACTAATTCAAATATTTTCTTATTTTTTTGTTCACAAACTCTTTTATAATACTTGACCAATCAATACTTCTAATCATCTCATTTTCTATTGACAGCCATAGGCGCACATTGGGTGTGAATTCAGGGGGTGCTGGGATAATTTATGGTTCACACCTCCTAATCCTAATATTTCTGCATTGCATTAGATTTAATTTGTATAGTGTATACAATAATTTCTAAAGTGCAATGTATCAAATAGTCTGTATGATTGTAAAGAAGACGCTAGGTACACCCACATGTGTTGTCTCCGTATTACAGACGTAGGTACAACATAGGCAAAACTGTTTTGCACGGGTATAAAAAACATTCAGTCTCTACTCTAAGCTAAGAAACTAAATGTTCACACTATAAAAATGAGAAAATTTACTCTGTAACTTTGTTTTTATATTTCCGATATCAAAACCAAAATAAAAGTTATTTAAGTTTGATAAACATAAAAAGGTGCTCTGCTGTACAGTAGGGTACAAGTGGGTCACTGTATAATCGATGGTATTAAATTTGAATTCAATGATATACTAACATCATTGTATAAGAAAAACGATTCTGAGCGAAGACGGTTAGTCAGCCTATGATATTACTAAGTATATTTGATGATACTAAGGTGAATAAAGCAATTTACCTATATATAACCTATTTACGTAGAATCTTGTTTTAAAATTTCAATCATTAGCTATAAAAGTTGAAAATTTATAAATTTTTAACTATAAAATTATTATTAAATTTTAAATGTGATACATTTTGTCAAAATTTGAATTTTAAATAATTATTAAAAAAAATTGTGCCTATGTATTTTTAATATTTTTCAAGTGTTATTGTAACAATATATATCAGGAGCTTTGCATTAAATTTTTAAGCTTTTTTACCATACAAATAAAATTGTATTGATATGAATAGAAAAAAAAATTAAAATATTGAAAGCTGAAAATGTCCGTAAATAGCTCAAAAAGAATCAAAATATTTTCAAAACTATATGGTGTATAGGAAATGCTAATATAAAAATTTAGTAAAATTTTCAAGTATCTACAGTCATTCGTTTTTTAATTACAACAAAATTAGAAAATCGTTACATGAGAAATCGAGTAAATATCAAATGTTGTAAAAATATGAATTTCAAACGTTCATAAAAATTTAATTTGAGATTCTTGTAGACATTTTTTTTTTTTTTGATAAAGGTAGACAAACTTATGAGGAATCTTGCATTACTTTTTCATATCTTAGATTTAAAAAGAAAATTTTTTATGAATTTCTAACTCGAAATAATTTGCAAATTTTCGTCATTTTCACGTATTTTGTCAATATTTGGAATTTAAATGCTTATTTGACCCCCCCCCCCCAAAGTACCAACTAGATTCACTTTCCTATCAGAAAAGATACTGTTGAAGAAAATCCAAGCACTTTTACTGCCCTAAAAGATGATGACGGACAAAAAAAAAAATGAATTCGTGAATTCGTAAACAGTTGTCAATATTTGTAATGAAAAGAAAAATTCCGAACCAATAAACCACGATAGTTTATAAATGATTGGTGAAATACTGAAATAAACTGAGGGTGCTAGTTTGAAGCTTGCATATAAATGCCCATCTCATACTATGACATAATTTTATATACATAATTTATAACGTTTAATGACAGTTCTAATTATTATTAGTTGTTTCTTAAACCCGAGTTTTCCATTATGTCATACAATTTGAATTTTTTCTTTTTGACTCTGAGATACAAAAAAAAAATTACAAAAATGTACCGCCCCAAAAAACTTCCGCCCGGGGCAAATGCCCCTTTTGCCCCCCCCTTAATGCGCCGCTGAGAATTGCAGGGTTAGGTATAACTTTTCGGTGGTGTGTATCTTTTATAATATAATATTTCATTTTCTAATGTAAATTGTCTAGATTTTCGTCTTATGTTAGTGTGTACCTCTATATTCGACAGTGCTTTTACTATTTCATTGCAAAATCGGTCATTTTTTTGTTGTGTTTTAATATCGTGTAAATTATTCAGTGCGTCGTTGTCGTCATTAATGATATTCATAATTTTAATATTGCTAATTGCATTTCTTGATAGCGAGTCAGCGACTTTGTTTTCTTTGCCTTTTATGTATTTAATATCGAAGTCGAAGTCCAATAATTTTAATGTTAGCCTAGCTATCATAGCGGAGGGTATTTTTAGGTTGTTATAATATTGTAAGCTTATGTTGTCACAAAATACTGTAAATTTGCGTCCCCATAAGTACTCTCGAAAATATTGGACACCAAAACATAAACCAAGTAACTCGAGGGTGGTGGAAGAGTAAGTCTTTTCTGAATCTAATAACTTTCTAGATGCATATCCTACAGGGCGTAATGTGTTTGTGTCATCGGACTGTTCAATACATGCTCCTAATCCCAATATAGACGCGTCCATTGTCAAATATACGTGTTTATCATCGTTAAAATGTAGTAAGAGGGGCTTTGAAGTTAAATAATGTTTTAATTTATTAAACGTTTCTTCGTGTTCGTCAAGCCAAATTATTTTATTTTTACCAATTTTTATTAGTTCGGTAAGTGGGTTTGCAATTTTAGCAAATTCTTTAATATGTTTCCTATAGTATGAACACATGCCGATAAATGATCTAACGTCTTTTATTGTTTTTGGTCTATTAAATTCAGTGATTGCTTTTGTATATCTGTTTAACGGTCGTATACCAATTGTTGATATTTCATGTCCTAATAATTCGATTTTATCGTAAAAAAAAATTACATTTTTTTGTTTTCAATGAAAAATTCGTTTTGTCAATGATTTCAAATGCTACGCGTAAGTTAATTATCGCCTGATCAAAGTTACTGCCATAGGATACTAAATCATCAATGTAAATTATAATAGATTTGTATAAAATATGTGAAAATGATTTATTTAATTCTCTCTGGAATATAGCACTACTATTTTTGAAGCCTTGTGGAAGTCTCGTAAAAGTTAATAAGCCTAATGCAGAAGTGAATGCAAGTTTGTACTGGTCTTTCTCTTCAACAGAAATTTGAAAATAACCACTATTTAAATCTAAAGAACTGAAGTATTTTGATCCTTCTAAAGCTCTGAATAAATCTGCAGTACGAGGTAATGGATATTGATCGCATTCTACTCTGTCATTAAGTTCTTTATGTAGGATACTACTAAACGATATGAGCCCAGAGCCTATCTCTTTTTTCTTTACAAGGAAAGCTGGGGCGGCAAATTTTGAAACTACTGGTTTGACGATGTTTGCTTTTAAAAGTTTGTCAATTTGACTTTCTAATTCTTGACGCTGTTGTGGTGATACTCTATGGGGTGCATTAAATTTTGGTTCTTTATAATTCGGCTTCATTTTGATCTCGCACGGTTTAATATTAGCGGCTTTTATATTGGAGGTGTCTGTAGTAAAAATGTGATTATATTCAGTTAATAGTTGAATAACTTGGTTGTGTTGTGTTATACTTAATTTTGGGAAAATAGAAAAGGGTGTGCCCTCAGAATCTGTTAAAGATTGTTTTGTATTTAAGTTTGTATAGTTTATCCTTTCGACTTTAGGGAATGATTTTTGTGTGTGTGTGTGTGTGTTTGAGGAGTCTGTTAGTTCTTTATTTATTTTTGTATAATTATGAGTCGAGACTATTTGTATTTTATTTATATTATTCATTGTGTTTTTACTATCGTTTGTTATTTTTTTAAATTTTATATTTCTATTTAGTGAGATGAGTGTCGGCATTTCTTGTATGTGGATTATATTTTTAGGAATTTTATTGCATTTTTTTGTTGTTAAAGTGCCTGGTATCCAATGAGTATTTTTATTAATGTTATATAACACTATGGGTGACCTATTTCCATAACCATATATTATACCCTTATTATCGTCGTCATTGTATATGTAAATTGTAAGTATCATGATCGCAATAATGTGCAATCGCGGCTAAATCCTCATCTGACCACCAATAATCTGGTAATTCGTTTAGATCTAATAATTGTAGTATCTCTAATATTGAAGTTATTTTATTAATTTTATGGTCATTTAAAGCATTGCAGACGGCGTATATCCCACAATTCCCATCACTGAGTACGTTTTCTCCTGGTTTGAAAGTAGTGAATATGTTATAGGCTTGATCGTTGTGTTCGGGTTGTGTGACTTTTATTTTTGTTTCGTTTTTATCATTACTATTGTCGAGAAAATTATGAATATTACTTATTGTATCAGGGTGTTCTTTTGATTTCCAATTTTGTGATATGTTTTTGTCATTTTTATGGTATATATGTATTTCGATGTTAGTGTTTTGAAATTCTGAATATAATAATTGTTTTACAACGGACCAATTTAGTTTGTCTAGCCCCGACGCTAACGTAGGCATTGCAATTTTTGAAATATTTAGTTTTATGGCTTCAAGTTTTAGGTTGTGAATTGAAGATTTTAGGTCTTCATATTTGGGCTTATGATAGTGTAACACTTTTGTTATTAAATGATATAAAGTTTTATTATTGCTGTTTATAGGTATGGTGTTTCCCACGTTTATTTCTTGTAATGCAAGTTTTGGTCTGGTATCGCCGTATACTTTGCATATCAAATTTGCTATGCCCTTATTCATTTGGAGGTCAGTAGATATACAGTGTGCTATAGCGAAGTTATCTGGGCAATTAAATATGCTACCTTTTATTCCTATAATATTATTGGTGTTATTTATACAATTTATCGCGTTTATATAGTTTATTTTTAGCTGAATGTTTAAATTATTATTTAGAATAATATTATTGTCTTTAAAATCGATTAAGGCATTGTTTTTTATCAAAAAATTATTTCCTAGTATTATTGCGCTATATAGATTTTTGACGACGTAGGTTAGGGTTGCCATTTATACAAAAATAAAAGTCGGGACACTATAATACCCCCTCCCCCCCACAAGACAACACATTCTTTGGAATTTTTAATAATACTTTTTTTAGTCCAACGTTATATAATATTTTTATTATATTATAATTTATAATAAATAAAAAAGTCAAAAATTAGAAATAGCACAAAATGTAATAATAGTATTATTATTATCTTATTCATAAATATAATTTTAATTATAAATTTAATAATAAATTTATCGATTTCATTTTCTTTTGTAGCTTTATTGGTGTTAATTTGTTGGAGTTTAGATTTTATAAATTCTGTTTCGAAATCAAGTGAAGTTTTAGGAGTGTCACCTGTTATCATAAATTCAACCATTTCATATTTCCGAACATTACTTTTTAATTCTGTTAAATTTTCATTTCCCATAATTATTCCTATGTATCGTGCTATGGAGGGGTTTAAGCCTTTCATTATATTGCGGACCATTTCCTCTTGTGACATTTTACTATCAATGCGCCTACATAATGACTCAGCATCGTTAATGTAAGATACCGTGTGTTCATCTGGAAGCTGTTTACGTTTTTCTAACATTAATTGGAGCATATCGGTCTGCGCTATTGGTTCAAATTCTAATGTTGCAATAGCCAAGGCTAGGACCACACAATAGTATAATATGATTACTACAGTATTACGCGTGGTGTACGTGGCACAATATATTAATTACTATTAACGAGTGCCACAAGGAAAAGTTAGTTTCTAAAGTACTAGAGGAGCCATAGCGAATACTTAAGTGGGACCTTGTAAAGGACTATGTAATCTGACTGCTGTCTACTATATAAAGGCTCCCCAGCAGGGAGACCGGACACACTATTTCTGCGTGACGACTAGTTGACAGTATTCATGCTAGAGATATTTGTCTTAAGTTGTAACATTACTCTGAGTGCTTTAAAAGTATTAACCACTAACCTTTGGTCAATAAATTTATAATAATAATTAATTTGACTACGTGTTACTTCATTTGATTCGACCTTGTCAACCGAACTCCACATCTGGTTCGCAACACTAACCTAATTTTTTTTTTCTAAATCAGCCCATTTTAGGTCTTCACCACTATCTATTATGTTATCATAAAAAGTAAGAGCGGAACCTTCCAAAAATACAAGGATGTATTGAATTTTTTCGGCTTCAGACCAACCATTTATGATGGCAGCTCTGTCATATTTTTTTAGAAATGTGTCGATGTTTTCAGAAATCGCACCTGTGAAATTGCTTGGTTTGAAATATGGTTTTTTATTCTCAGGCATATTGTTTTTAATTATATTACCGTTAGATTTGTCAATTGGTTCTGAGATAAATGATATATTGGTTATTTGCGTATCGAAATCGTCTGAAATGGCTTCCCCCTTTAAATATGTTTGTAACCTAGTTTTTAGATCTGTAACTAAACCGGATGTTTTTAGGTGTCTTCTCGATAATTCGGTAATTAATTTTTCTTTATTGCATTTATTTACCCAACTAGTTGAGATAGTGGTAAAGTCGATATCTGGGAATTTAATGTAATCCTGATGGGGGTTTGGTCGGAATTTTGCATATGTGAAATTTATTATTAAATGTATTAGAAAAATAATATAATAATAACAAAAAATCTTTATGGGTAATTTTGTCTAGATTTTTGTTAATTGAAAAGTTAATGAAAATTCATTAATTATTTTGGATTTTATTTATACTAATATAAAAATGTGACGAATAGTTATTTGTATAAGTATTGTTTGATTATGATTTGTATTCTTCTGATGTATATCTATATATTTTTATATTAAGTAATTATGTTATTTTGTTAATTTCTTTTAAGGTTTAATTATTAGAATCTCGTAATAAATATTTGTATAATAATTCATGTATAATATTTTTTTGATTTAATAATGCAAGTATGAATTGTTATACAATTATATATTCGTTTTAGGTATACATTTTTACTTAGTGATTAAATTGTAGTTACTTAATTTATTCAAAAAAAAAAAATGTTGTTGATATTAAGGTTTGAATGATATATTACAATTTATTAAATGATTAAATTTTTCGTTTTACTGGAAAAGGGGAAATTTTAGTTTGTTTTCTTATTATAATAACTAATAATACTTAATGTATACTGTATATTATAATATATGTAAAAATAACATATATATATATATATATATATATATATATATTATATTGGATTTTAGGTTAAGTTATTAAATTAATTAATTTTGTTTTACCTAAAAAAAATTGTATCTTAGTTTTCTTTTTTTTTTTTTTTAAATAAATAATAATACAATATATTTACTATAAAAATTCAATTGTATAAATTATTATTAATATAATATAATATATTATAAATAAGATGTTACCTACTTTAATTTAATAGAATAATTTTATGAATGTACCTATAATATATATATTTTTTTTTTTTAGTTTTAGTTTTTAGTTTTAATGTTTGTTACCTATTATGTTTTATTATTAAATAAGTAAATTTTTTATAAGCTTATAAGCCTTTTAATTTTAATTTTAATTTTAGTTATTATTGTTTTTCTAAGTTTTATTTTTAATATTTTTTTTGTATTGATATTTTTTTAACATAAAATATTTATTTTTATATCTTACAATATAACAGCAAAATATTATGATAGTAGGTACTTATGAAGATAAGTGCCAAAAAATTGTATAGTGTATTCATTTATACATACCTACGTTTAATAGGATAGTATTACATTTCAATAAAATTTGTTATTCACCAATATAATTATCTATTTGTTAATTTGATTTAATTCTCATAATTAAATAAATATACATGGTAGGTATATTTTAGAAAATATTATCCAATCAGAAAATTAGATTTTGGCGACTTATTTGTTATAACCGCGAAAACATAACAATGATTACATTGATTACAATGAAGCCTAACATAAAACACCTGATAACTGTTCTCTATAATTATCAAAAAATACAATTTTGTTACCTCCTGTACGCTTTTTCAGATTTGAACGGCCGTTTCGAGCACTTTTCGCTGTAGGCGGGAATTGACTTTCACCCGAGATGACTGATAGCTAGACACTCAAACTCAGAATCCGAATTTACGATTTCAACACACACACTCTAGAATCGGACATACACGCCCGGGGCGTCGTCTGTGATCCTCGGATGGCCTACCTGGCTGGCTGTGTCGTACGATCGACTTGAATCGCCTGACTTACGACTAGACACTCTTCCAAGTTCAAAAATTACCGCTTAACCAGTGCTGCCAACACGACAAAACACAATACCCGAAGACCCCGCGTTCCCGCCGCAGGCCGGATCAAAAAACCCAGCTCGAGGCGAAACGACAAAGATGCACCACCGCCCACACAGTCTTTCCGCCGTAGGCGGGATGACAAACATCCGAATTTAGTAATAATAATAATAATATAATAATATTACCTATGCTGTTTATCATAGGTAATAGGTATAGATAATATAATATTATGTAATCATGGAAACGACTTGTATAATTTCACTCATACTTCCAATTTATTCAATTAGTACGTTTTGCATGACTATAATACTTATTAAATTACATATCGCCTCTTTTTAAAGTTCGAACAATAATAATTATAGAATTTAAAGTAGAAAATGAATAATGTTCAAAACGAATTCGAAGAAACTTTTAAACGCATCCAATCTCAAAACGGTGTTGATGGTGTTATTGTGGTAAACAATAGTGGTATGTATTCGAACAGTATCTTATTATGGTTGTAGGTTAACAGGTAGTAGGTACTAGGTACCTAACTGTTGTGATCACGGACTTATTAACTTATTATTACTTATTCATGTAGTGCTTGTGACACTCAATCTTTAGTCCTTACTCGGGCTCTGTTTTTTTTATCATTAAATTATTTGTTTATCATATTATATTATTATGATTGATACGGATAATAATTGTTATAGGTGATCACATTTCATCAACATTTGACAACAGATCATCTGTTAGACATTCTGAAATGATGATGAAGTTGGCTGACAACGCGAAGCGTTTTGTTAGAAATTTAGATCCGTCAAACGAGTTGACTGTTTTACAAATGGGTTCTAAAAGACGAGAGGTAGTGCTGGCACCTGGTAAATTGTATTTTGTAATATTTTTTTACCCAAATAATATTTTTACTACTATATATTTTATTGTTTTGAAATGTTTACACGCGTACCTATCTACTTATACTATATTTCAATCAAACAACTATTTTTTTTCCATTCATTACAATTGTTGTAACATTTTTTTTCTCATACAACATTTTAAGCTTAGAACAAAAATAAATTACATTATATTATATTTGAGATATGTATCTTCTTAAAGCACAAGCTTGTGGCAAAGATATAGAATACGGATACGGTATGTCCTTCTAGGTACAAGACATATTAAATACTTATCTATCAAAATAAGGAATAAAATAAGGAAAGATTCTCTGGTAGTATGTCGAACATCCTTAAGTATGACTGGTGGATCTTTCATAATCTGTATTTTAAAGACATATAATATTATGTACTATCTGACGTTGACGAAGCAGTAGTAGTTTTAGAGCATTATCAGATAATCCTCCCTAGATTAACAAACTGTATTATCCAGTGGCGTAGGCAATGGGGGGGAGTGGGGGGTCAGATCCCCCCATTGGATTTGTATTACCTTAGTGAAAAGTTTTGAGATGCTGGGGGATTTTCCAATTTTTCTCCCCCATGCTACTG